GGTAAATCGAGAGCCTGGCCTTCTGGCTCAGCTCCCTCTTCCCCACGACAGATCGGCTCAGCGTCCGCATCACTGCAGACGCCGAACCAATCCGCCTGTCGATCTCCCGATCCCTCCTACCCTCACTCGTGAACAAGACCCCGAGATACTTAAACTCCTCCACTTGAGGTAGGACCTCTCCCCCGACCCGGAGTTGGCAAGCCACCCTTTTCCGGTTGAGAACCATGGTCTCAGATTTGGAGGTGCTGATCCTCATCCCAGCTGCTTCACACTCGGCCGTGAACCTACCCAGCAAGAGCTGAAGGTCAGAGCTGGATGAAGCTAGGAGGACCACATCATCCGCAAAAAGCAGAGACGAGATTCTCCTGCCACCAAACTCGACACACTCCACACCACGGCTGCGTCTAGAAATTCTGTCCATAAAGGTAATGAACAGAACCGGTGACAAAGGGCAGCCCTGGCGGAGTCCAACCCTCACCGGGAACAGGTCCGACTTACTACCGGCTATGCGGACCAAACTCACGCTCCTCTGGTAAAGGGACTGAATGGCCCTTAACAGAAAGCCACCCACCCCATACTCCTGGAGCGTCCCCCACAGGGTGCCCCTGGGGACACGGTCATAAGCCTTCTCCAAATCCACAAAACACATCCCGTTTGATGTCTGTGAACTAAAAGTCACATTCTTGTTTTTGAACGGGGCAAAGTTGTTTTAGGTTTTGTGTGAAAGAGGACTGCAGCTGCTCAGCAGACATGGAGGAGGAGAAGAAGACTTCAGCGAGCTTCACATCCTTCTTCCAGGACAACAGGAGGAGCATTAAACGTGGAGAAACCACCATAAATCTGGTCATGTGGTCAGAAGCAGCTTCGCTGCGGGAGAGGAGATCCTGCTGTGGCGTCATATCTGACACGTCCGATCTGTTGTCATTTTAGTTTTTATAAACTAATAAATCACAGATAGACGAGGTCAAAACTCACGTAATTATTTATCATTTAAGGCAAAGCGGAGCAGAAAATAACGTTTACAGCCCCGTTCAGGGAGCCACGAGCCGAGCCGAAGGGGAGGAGCCTCAGGCGTCTGTAAGTTTTAAGTCCCACCCACCCCATGGTAAAAAAAAAAAATGGGACGTCCTACAGATCTTCCAGAAAAAAATGAAAATGCACCTAATTTTCTTCCGGGCTTTGAAACCTTAGATGTTTTTGTATAAATGTATCCGACATTGATTTGACGGTTAAAACACGGATATCGTGGCTGTCGGACCTGGTTTGTGTTCACACACATCTACGGTAAAGGAATTAATAAAAGCTGCATTAATGAACTTACTTTAGCTAAATGAAACAATACGGGTCTAATTCCCAGCTACCAGAACACGACATGCCCGTAGTGTTCCTCCTCCGTGTGTTATCTGATCCTGCACCTGTACATTAGGACTGATCCCGCTCTCCATCAGTATCTGGCAGACCTCCGCATTTCCTCCCAGAGCAGCCCAGTGCAGCGCCGTGTGGCCGTCCACGTCCACCAGGTTCACACGAGCAGAACCTGCACAGAAACAACTCAGATGCAACAAAACAAAACTGGAAAGAACTAAACTGTTTGGCTTTTCTTTAGCCAAGTGCTGCCAAATACATCAGACCACAATTCTGCTGTTTGGTTGCACTTCAATGTTCCAGAAGAGCAAACACATTTCATATCACGCGAAGAAAACCCAAGTAAATACGAAGCATGAGTGAAATGATGATTTTATCTCATGAGGAACAAGAGGTGGTCTAAACCGAACCTGTGTGGAAACGTAGGTGAGTAACAACCAGGATTTATAATAACTGCTTCTGAGCCTCTCAGATTGCTGAGGAGGAATTTTACCCCCCTGGGTCAGGTCATAATAATAATAATAATAATAATAATAATAATAATAATGCATTGAACTTATATAGCGCTTTTCTAGACACCCAAAGACGCTTTCACACACTCTCACATTCACACACTGCTAGTGATGGTAAGCTACTTGTAGCCACAGCCGCCCTGGGGGGGTCTGACAGAGGCGAGGCTGCCATGTGGCGCCGTCGGCCCCTCTGACCACCACTAACACAGGCAAGTTGGGTGAAGTGTCTTGCCCAAGGACACAACAGCAGGTTACCCCTGGTGGGAGCTGGAATCGCACCCATGACCCTCCGAACATGAGGAAACCCGCTCTACCTTCTGAGCTACTGCTGCCCCAATACACATTAAAGAGCAAGTCGCCCCCTACCAGAGTATTACTCCACTCCCACTTCCTGTTTGAAAAATGCAACAAATGCTGTTGCCTAGCAGACCGAGAGGGCGGAGCCGCTAACACACACACACACACAGGCTGACAATGACATTGTGACATCATATGGTACCAGCTAACGTTCTATGGTACCTCTTAGCCAATAGCGATGGCAGACTTAAATTCAAATGCAGTGCAGAGTTTTTACCTGACAACGGCACGACACTGACAGTTTTAGACAGAACATTACAATTTTA